TTATCTTACTGCAACCCACCTGATCTATGTGGAGGCTTCCGGTACAGCACGGAAAGAAACATGGGTATGTTCATGAGAAGAAATATCAAAGAGTCTTAAAGAGTTGTGCATACATGCTCTCTATATGGTGGTTTCTTGAAATTTCAAGTATAAATTTTAAATTACTATAAAACTTTTTCTTCAAAGGACCTGTGCTAATAATGTTGCTATGGCCTGAATTGTATGACTCCTCTTTCTTCAAGTTATTGGCTGTGGTCATTGTAGTCATTTTATTCTACATGGGTATATTCCTGAGGTTTAGCTAAATTATTTTTAGGTAGAATAGTTTCTGCTCATTTCCTGAAATAAGTTTGTAAGCATCGTGAAGTAATTTAAAGTCTTGCTACCCATAAAATGTAGTTCAAGAACCAGCAGCATCTGTAGCATATGGGAACTTGATAAAAATGCAGAATCTCAAGCCAAAGATTTTGAATTTCTAAAAAGGGCTTAGGTGATGCTGATGCTAAGGCCTCATCGACTTTATCTTGGGCAGCAGTAATTTAGACCATCTCTCTGTCCTAAGACAGGATTTTACCTGAGTATATATATTTGTGTGCTCACACACACACATTTGTATGTGTTTCTTTTTACACCTTTAGGGAATATTTTGTAATTACTTCAGCACTCCAACATTACTTTATGCCTTCCCTATCCTAAAGATCATAATTTAATCTTAATTATTAGTTAGATTTATGCTTAGACCTCTTCATTTATAATAAGTACAACATGTTTTTTATATATAGCAGAGCTTAGTGATTAAAGCTTTAGAGCCAGTCTGCTCAGGTTGAAATTCCAGTTTCAATATTTACTACTTTTGTAACCTTGGGCAAATTATTTAACTTTTCTGTGTCCCACTGCCTTCGTCTGTAAAATAGAGATAAAATAATACCTTGAATTATTTTTAAAAAGTCAAGATAGAAGAATTACAAAGTGAATGTTTGTAAGTGCTTGCAACAATGACTGGAACATGGTAAACACTATCGTGTAAGTATAAAATAAATTGAATTGAGTATGCATATGAAAGAAGTACCTTAATACTTCCTTTTAAAAATGAACTTCCCCCATAGGAGATTGTATCTTGCTCCCTTTGGTGTGATGATAAGAATGCCAAAAGAGGAATGAGAACTGGGCCAGAATAAACTCTGATACTAACTGGCTATGTAACCTTAGGCAATAGATTCTTCCTCTCTGGGCTTGTTTTTTCATTTGTAAAGTGAGTTGGTTAGATTATATAGTTAGTAAGGAATCTTGGAATTCTAACAGTTTAGGAACCAATTCTTTGGTAGTGTTCCATAAGCCTGTCTCCTATCTACCTACATTTATAGACAGTACATACACATGTCTCCAGATTTGTTCCTTTTGGGTATTCTTTCAAACTCAGTGGACTCTATCTAGAAGGGAGAACTTACACTTATTTCTGCGTGTCAAAGGAGGCTTATTTACCCAATTAGGGAAGTTCTTCCTAGCCTTAGTCTGCCCTACCTCCCTCCTACCCTTCTTCCCAGTTTCACCACAATTGTTTGCCTGGGCCCTGATTTCGATTATCAGTATCATACTACCCAAACACACATCTCTCATGTTGAATGGAAGATCTTTGATTTTCTTGAGATTGAATAGATTAATTCCTACTACATTTTGTGATACCGCCAGAACTGCTATGGCAGGACTTCAGTTTGACAAAACAATTAAGATGGAAATTAATCACGCCTGTAATCCCAGCACTTTGGGAGGCTAAGAAAGTAGGATTGCTTGAGGCCAGGAGTTTGAGACCAGGTTGGGCAACAAAGCGATACCTAGTCTCTACAAAAAAAAAACATTAAAAATTAGCCAGGCATGGTAACACACAACTGTCATCCTAGCTCATTCAGGAGGCTGAAGCAGGAGGATCTCCTTTGAGCCTAGGAGGCTGAGGCTGCAGTGAGCCACGATCAGGCCACTGCACTCTAGCCCAGGCAACAGAGTGAGACACTACCTTAAAAAAGCAACAAAAGCCAAAATAGACAAATGAGATCTAATTAAACGTAAGAGTTTCTGCACAGCAAAAGAAACAATCATTAGAGTGAATGGCCAACCAACAGAATGGGAGAAATTTTTTGCCCATCTGACAAAGGGCTAATATCCAGACTCTACAAAGAACTACAGCAGATTTACAAGAAAAAAGCAAACTAACCCATTCAAAAGTGGGCAAAGGATATGAACAGACACTTTTCAAAAGAAGACATTTATGAGGCCAACAAACATATGAAAAAATGCTTATCATCACTGGTCATCAGAGAAATGCAAATCAAAACCACATTGAGATACCATCTCATGCCAGTTAGAATGGTGATCATTAAAAGTCTGGAGACAACAGATGCTGGAGAGGATGTGGAGAAATAGGAACACTTTTACATTGTTGATGGGAGTGTAAATTAGTTCAATCATTGTGGAAGACAGTGTGGCAATTCTCCAAGGATCTAGAAATAGAACTACCATTTGACCCAGCAATCCCATTACCGGGTATATACCTAAAGGATTATAAATCAATCTATTATAGAGACACATGCACACGTATGTTCATTGTGGCACTGTTTGCAATAGCAAAGACTTGGAACCAACCCAAATGCCCATCAGTGATAGACTGGACAAAGAAAATGTGACACATATACACCATGGAATACTATGCAGCCATAAGAAAGGATGAGTTCATGTCTTTTGTAGGGACATGGATAAGTCTGGAAACTATCATTCTCACCAAACTGACACAGAACAGAAATACAAACACTGCATGTTCTCTCACTCATAGGCAGATGTTGAACAATGAGAACACATGGGCATAAGGATGGGAACATCATACACTGGGGTATGTTGGGGGGTGGGGGGCTGGGGAAGTACAGTGGGTGGTGGGGTGGTTGAGGAGGGATAACACTGGGAGAAATGTCTGATGTAGGTGTTGGGGGATGGAGACAGCAAAACACCATGGTATGTGTATACCTATGCAACAATCCTGCAAGATCTGCACATGTACCCCAGAACTTAAAGTACAATAAAAAAAAAAGAAAGAAAATGTATCTTAGGAATATGTAAATCATCTCCACATTTGCTCCATTCTTAGATGATAGATACCATTGAAAGATTTCACTGAAGAGATGACTTTTCCAAATAAATTAGGGATTAGGGCATTGGGGTGGTGGGAGAGAAGAAAGGGCACTATTGATTGGAAGACCATTCCAGGCACAGGACAAGGAGTCTGGAGAATGGAAAGAGCACATCCAGGATCTATAGTTGCGGAAACATCAGACAGGGATAGGAGGAGAACATCAGAAAATAAAATCCAAAACCATGATTCTATGGCTTTTTGAATCAATTAAGACAGAATTATATTATTTGGACACATTTTCTTTTATCAGTTCCCTTTCCATGCATTTCTTTTTTTGCTGGCATCAGCATGAACAGGAGTAATCATCCTACATTCTTTGCTTTACTGTCACTAGAGTTTAAAATGTAGAGGAATAGTTTCTCCCTAACATTTCTAGTTAAATCCTTATTCCAGAACTAGAGTTTTTAGAATTCCCAGAGAAGAATCCTGGACTTATGGTTAGACTGCTGTGGTTCAAATTCTGTTTGTGCCACTTCTTGGCTTTATGATACCTAATGAGGAATTCACTTCTCAGAGCTTTGTTTTTTTCATTCCTGAAACATGATGATTATAGATCAAATGGCTCTTCTTAAATAGCTAATGGTCATGGACTACTTTGTTTATAATAAAGCAGAATACCAGCTATTAATAATTATCTTAATTAGTAATTTGATATAGGCAAAGAAGTTCCTACTTTCCTCTGTAACAATTATTTTGTGATTGTAAACTCCATCACAGCATGCCAGAAGTCATCTATTCGAAAGTGATCCACCAAAATTGTCCCACAAACTTGTTAATCTTGTATCCTTAAGGAGAGGGAAGTTTTCTGACACTGCAGTCTGCTTCTCATTGCTTTACCACTATTATGCTCTATTTCTATTTGAGAGAACCCCAGTTGTATCTTACAAAGATTGACTGTAGGCTATAGATGTAGCCTACAGATCTGGTCATAGTGTAATCATTACTGAGAGTCGGGAATACTGATAGTGATAGAGATATTGCACATCTGTATGTTTACACTGGTTCTTTTATGTTTTTCAGATTGCACTCCATCACATTGCCACTGTGGAGAAGTTACCCATCACTAGTCTGGGCTGTCCCCTAACACTCCGCTGCAAGAACTTCCGGGTGGCCCATTTTGTCTTAGACTCTGACCTTGTGTGCCATGAGGTTTATATTTCACTACTCAAGCTTTCTCAGCCAGGTAGTTATGATAGTATTTTTATCTAAAACCATTTTAGTATTTTTCCAAAATGGCATAATGGAAAGATCAGGGCTATGGAGTTAGAGCAGGGTTTGGATCTGGGCTCTACCACTTACTAGCTCCATGATATTTGGGAAAGTTATAGAACCTCTGAACTCATTTTCTTTACCTGTAAAAGTAAGGAGAGTAAAAGCTCTCCAAGGGGGTTGTTTTGAGCCTTGAATACCTTCATGTATTAGTATATAGTAAATGTTTAATAGATATTTTCTTCTTTCTCCCTCCCTACTTTTAAGTATCAACTTGTGAATTTTTCCTCAGTTCAGGAAGAAAGACTGCTTTGGAACAAAATTTGTTTCCTGTTGTCCTGCAGGCTGTTTGACCCACAATTTCCACCCCTACTTTCAACTGCAACTAGAAGACTAAGGCAGTTCATCAGAGTCCTCATTAATATAGAACTTAATGCTTCCTCCAGCCTCACCCTTTAATTCTCCAGCCTACAACCTTAAGCTATTAACCATCAGCTTCCTCTGATTTTAGTCTTTGATTTTAATCAGGCTCTTACATTTTCTTTCCCATTTTTCCCCCTTTGCCCAGAATAATTCCTCAATATTTGCTGATTTTTATTGAGAAAATTACCTGCTGGATGGCCCAGCATTTTATAAGTCTCTGATAGGCTCCATTCATCTCTGGAGAAGTGGTTGCCACGTAAATCGGTCAAATGAGTTATTTGATTGCATGCTGTATCTTGTGAAGGGAGGAAGCAGGACTGACAGAGAAAAGAGAGGAAGTGGCCATTTGTAAGTCAGAAGTTGCTGTTGGCCTGACAAGTAGAATACAAAAACACTGTTAAAGTTGTGCAACATGTTACAATAAGCAGTACTTTTGGGACATGGGGGCCCAGTTAAAAACTTTTGGTAAGGACTCCTTCCCTAACATGTGAAACCCTGAAGCGTCAGTTCAGTCAACTATCCAGCATTCTTTGTAATAGGAAGCCAGGCAGAAAGATCCCACTTTGTGTTGATACCACAAAAAATTAAAACTTTTTTTTAAAAGAAGAACCCAAACAATACTCCAGGTTTTAATTCCTTACATAAAGGCAAACTTGCATACACCACAGTCCTTTTCTGGGACTGTCTGACAAAACATTCCCTTTGGGAAAAGGAAATCTAGCCTTTATTTGCATTGTTTGATGATCTTTAGGTTTCATTCATCATTTTGTTCCCCATGCCTATCTCTCTTCTCCAGCATTACCTGAAGATCTTTATGCTTTTTCTTACAATCCCAAATTCTCAAAAGAGATGAGGGAAAGTGGATGGAGACTGATTGACCCAATATCAGACTTTGGGCGTATGGGAATACCCAACAGATACTGGACTATAACAGATGCCAACAGAAACTATGAGGTAATTTTGTCCTTGTTGTTTTCCTTTTGGTGCATTTAATTAAAATGGCAGAATATCAGAAAACAAGATTTTGAAAAAAGAGAACTTACTCATAATCTCTTTCTCCTTTTCATTCAACATTCGGCCATTCAACAAACATTTATTGAGTATCTACTGTGCAGTAGGCACTGAGTAAGAGATTTCATGGCCTAAAACATAGGGTTCTATGGGAGCATAGGTGCAGGACAAGAAAATCAGTCTAGGAAGCCAGAAATAGCCTGATGCTTTGGAGAATAACCTTGTGAAGACTAATTTACTTTTAGCATTTTAAAAATTGTTAATTATTATGAATACATAATAGTTGTACATATTTATAGGGTACATGTGATATTTTTATACAACAATGAATTGTTTAATAACCAGATCAGGGTAATTGAGGTATTCATCACCACAAGCATTTATCATTTGTGTTAGGAGCATTCCAATTCCATTTTCAGTTATTTTATTATCTCTAGTCATCCTGTTGTGCTACTGAATACTAGATCTTATTTCCATTTATCTAAATGTATTTTTGTACCTGTTGAGGATCTTCTCTTTACCCCCCAACTCTACTACCCTTACCAACCTTTGGTAACCATCATTCTGCTGTCTCCATGAGTTCTTTTTTTTTTTTTTTTCAAGCTCCTACAAAATGTGAGTGAGATTGTGCAATATTTGTTGTTCCAAATGATAGGATTACATTTTTTTATGGATGAATAATATTCCATTGTGCATATAGACCACATTTTCCTTTTCTTTCCTTTTTGTTTTTTTGAGACAAGGCCTTGCTCTGTTGCCCAGGGTAGAGTGTAGTGGCATGATCACAACTCACTATAGCCTCGATCTCCTGGGCTCAAGTGGTCTTCCCATCTCAGCCTCTCATGTAGATGGGAGCACAAGCACCCACCACCATGCCTGGTGAATTTGTTTCATTTTTTTATAGAGATGGCAGTCTTGAACTCCCAGGCTCAAGCAATCCTCCCTCCTTGGCCTCTCAAAGTGCTGGGATTATAGGAATGAACCCCTACTCCCCGTCAATAGTGGCTGTACTAATTTACATTCCTACCAATTGTGTATGAAAATTCCCTTTTCTCCACAACCTCACTAGTATCCATTATTGCCTTTTTGATAAAAGCCATTTAACAGGTGAGATGATACCTCATTGTAGTTTTGGTTTGCATCTCTCTGATGATTATTGATGTTGAGCATTTTCTCATATACTTGTTGGTGTTCTTTTGAGAACTATTTAGATCTTTTGTCTATATTTAATTGAATTATTTGTTTTTATACTATTGAGTTGCTTGGGCTCCTTATGTTTTCTGGTTGTTAATCCGTTGTCAGATGGGTAATCTGCAGATATTTTCTCTTATTCTGTAGGTTGTCTTTTCACATTGTTGGTTGTTTCCTGTGTCATGGAGAGTTTTAGCTCAGTGTTATCCCATTTGTCCATTTTTTCTTTGGTTGATTGCATGTGCTTTTGAGGTCTTACTTGAGAAGTCTTTGCTCAGACCAACATTCTGAAGTGTTTCTCCATTGTTTCTTCTGCATATGGATGTCCAGTTTTCCCAGAACCATTTATTGAAGAGAATCCTTCCCTCAAATATTTGTTCTTGGTGCCTTTGTTGAAAATGACTGAACTGTAAATGTATGGATTATTTTTGAGTTTCTCTCCTAATTTATACAGGAGGAGAGGGAAAGAGGTCAGGAAGTGAGGCCTTATCATGAAGACAGTTGAGAGCCACAAGAGTATTTACACTTGGAAGTAACATATGTATATTTGTCTTTTAGAAAGATAACTGTTAATAGTGTGGAGAATTGGTTTGCTGGAGCTAAGAATGCAGGAGAATTATATGTGAAGTTATGAGAACTTGAACTAAGGTAATGGCTGCAAATGGAGAGAAGGAGATGGTTTTAAAATATATTTAGGTGGTAGAGTTGAAAGCAACTGATGACAGATCAAATGTGCCTAGAAAAGTAGAGGAGTTTACTATGCATCCCAGCTTTCCTGGTTTCTGGCATTGATGACCAATGAGTAGTAGTGATGTTGACAAAGATAAGGACCACAAGAAGAGGAACAGATGGTATCTTCAATTTTACACTTGACTTCAAAGTGATTAAACAGATAACAAGAATTTGATTTCAAGCATTTGGGTCTGGATCTCAAGAAACAGCTTTGGGCCAAATGTGGACCTCTAAGAATGTGTTAGAGGTTCCAAAGACTGTTCCTCAGGTTTTGTGATTTACTAGGAAAATTCATAGGACTCAGCGTATAGTCATATTTATGATTATGATTTATTATAGTGAAAGGATATAAAGCAAAAATCAGCAAAGGGAAAAGGTTCAGGGGACAAAGTCGAGAAAACCAGGAACAAGCTTCCAGAGTGCTCTCTCGGTAGGACACACTGAATTCCTCCAGCAACAAATCGTAACAACACTTATGAAATGTTGTCTACCAGGAAGCTCATTAGAGACAAAGTGCTCAGGGCTGCTATTGGGGCCTGCCCACATAGGCACGTCTGCCTAGTATATGCCAGAATTCCAGATCCCCAGAAGGAAAGCAGGTATGCAGGATAAGCCACATTGTTTGCACAAACAGTTTAAGCACAATTCAAGTAGGCTATTCTAAGGGTAGTGAGATGGTTAATATTGTCAACTTGATTGGACTGAAGTATTGTTTCTGGGTGTGTCTGTGATGATATTACTAGAGGGGAGATTAACACTTGAGTCAGTGGACTGGGAGAGGCAGAGCCACCCTTAATCTGGGCGGACACCATCCCCTTGGCTGCTAGCGCAGCTAGAAAAAGCAGGCAGAAGAAAGTGGAATGAGCAGACTTGCTGAATCTTCCGATCTTCATCTTTCCCCCGTGCTAAATGCTTCCTCCCCTCGAACATCAGACTTCAAGTACTTCGGCTTTTATATTCTTGGACTTACACTAGTTAGTGGCTTGCCAGGGGCTCTTGGGCCTTCGGCCACAAACTGAAGGCTTCACTATCGGCTTCCCTACTTTTGAGGTTTTGGGACTCCAACTGATCCACTACTGTCTTTCTTGCTCCTCAACTTGCAGACAGCCTATCGTGGGACTTTACCTTGTGATCGTGTGAGTCAATTCTACTTAATAAACTCCCTTTCACATATACATATATCTTAGTAGTCCTGTCCCTTTAGAGAACCCTGACTAATACAGGTAGCCATCAGGCTGCTATGATAATTTTTCTGCAGAGAGAGACATTGGTGTTTAAGTGATATTCCTGAATTGTTGATCTTTATTTCCAGCTTTTTTACTATCGTAGTAAGACTGTGATTGCAATGACTTTCTGGTAACATAGCTTTGAATGTCTACTAGATATGGGACTTGATGAGCTGTGACTTCACAGTGTCATCTGTGAGGTGGCTTGTTAGGGTCATGTTAGAGAGGAATGAGTAGAGATTTGGGATAATATCTGTCCACCTCAAATGTGTGTCTGAGTCTCCCAAATAAGGTCTAAAATATTCTTGGTCTTTTTGATGTATATAACCTTCTGAGCTCAACTGGGGGCTCCATTTATTTTTCCTTGTATAGCTGTCTTCTCCAAAGTTTAAGTCCAGGTAAAGGGGATGGGTAGAAAACATTTTCTATGTTTTTGCATTCTGGGGACATTGACTTAGTGAGTTACATAGAGCATTCTTGATCTGATCTACCTTTAACTTTTTTTTTTTTTTTTTGCCTGTTCAGTTTATATTTGTTGTATTTGTTTTTAAATGTTTGGGGGTGTTCTTTACTTAGGGCAGTGATTAGAATTAATTTTGCAATGTCAGGTCTGTGGTGTTATAATATTTTATCATTGTCTTTTTGGAAATATGTATTTTGGTAATTACTAAAATCTGATAAACTTGAGAAAATACATCAATCTTTTCATAGAGTTAAGTTACACCTAAAATGTCAACACCACTCACAGACTAGCATTTTAAGGGCCCTCCAGATATGAATACTAGGAACCTAGTATACAGTTTATGATAGAGTATATCATATTTCCCCCTCCTCCACTTGTCTGCCTCATATTTGAGTCTGTTCGTATTAATTTACTTGTTTATAGTCTATATTGTTTGCTCCAATAATTCTAAAAGTACATTCATTTTATTCTTGTATGTCTCAATCCCTTCCTTTCTAGAAAATAATATCATACTTGGAAAAACTTGTATAACAAGGATATTTTCACTTCTATTTCTGAGGAATAGATGATTAAATATCAGCTAGCTAATGCTTTAGTGATTGCTAATTCCAGCCTGTTGCTAGCAAATGAAAAATGTATATATGTATAAAATGTAAAATATATCTATAACGTAAACATATATATTGTGCTTATTTTCTTTTAGATATGTAGCACCTACCCTCGTGAAATAGTGGTTCCTAAATCTGTTACCTTGGGAACGGTGGTTGGAAGTTCAAAATTCAGAAGTAAAGAACGTGTCCCTGTGCTCTCCTACCTCTGCAAAGAGAACAGTGTAAGTTAAGCAAATTTCTCTAAGGAAATTAAACTTGGCTCTGGAAGACCTGTTTTAAGTCTCATGCTGCCACTTAGAGGCTATGTGACCTCAAGTTATTTAACTTCTCTGGACTTTTGTACTTCTGAAGATTTTTGAGAGGATCTCAGGAGGGAATAACATATGTGTACCTTGTAAATTGCAAAATGTTATGCAGATGTTAAGTGGTATTTTAGTGGGTTCATTTTTTTTTCTTTTTTTTTTTTCTTTTCTGTGGGTTCCAGCTTGGTGGGAAGCTGTGAAATGAAATTAGTTGTATGACAGGAGTTTTCTGTGACTGTGGCTGGCCTCCCAGTAGAATACAGATATCCTTGATACTTTCTTACTGCTTTTCATATAATTTCAGGTAGTAGTAAGAAAGCACTTGACGTAAGGGGATTGTGTTAAATATTGTAATCACTCTGAGATCTGGGGTTAGACAAATAGTCAAGTTGTCTGGTGGGCAGCAATTCAAATGCTAAAGAATATAATAATGCAGTTGGGTGTCATGCTATTGAAATGAGTAGACCCCTTAAAAACCACATCAAAGTGTATTAACTAATCATTACCAGACATGCGTGTTAAATAGTCACCTTGTTTTTGTGTTAAAATAGCTTCAGACAAATCAGCCTTCTGATTTGGCATTAACTCCTAAAACTAGTGAACCCTTTTCTCTTAAGGCACTATAGATCTTTGCTGTATCTTGAATTCTGCTGCCTCTGCAAGCTTATGGTTTATGTGGACAATATTACTGGGACTGTAAAAAGTGAAGCAGTTTCAGAAAAATAACTAGCCCATTATGTATTGAGAATAGAATTTCATTAAGGAAACGTTCAACATGTGATTTTTTTTTTTTTTTTGTAGTCTGATTTGCCAAAATTGGGTTGGAAATTAGAGCCACATGCCCGGGGTAGGCAGGAGGTTAAGCCCAATGTCAGTGGAGAATGGCTTTAGAGCCCCATTTCTGTTTGCTTTGGATACTATCTTAAGTTGGCTCATCCTCTCCCTCAACTCATGCAACCTGGCTAGGGTGAAGGAAGATTTTTGACCTCTTGTGAATATAATCACTCGACTGACCCACCTTTTCCTTACAGGCTGCCATTTGCCGCTGTAGCCAGCCTCTCTCTGGATTTTACACTCGCTGTGTAGATGATGAGCTCTTGTTGGAGGCGATTAGCCAAACAAACCCAGGGAGCCAGTTTATGTATGTTGTAGACACAAGACCAAAGGTATCTATCTCTCAGTGATTTCTTTGATATTTCTACCTCTTGCAGTCTTCCTCCTCATATATTGAGACATGCAATGTTATTGGGAAAGTTAGGTTTGTGTATGTGTGTTTATTACATCAGATAATGTAAAATTATTTGAGGAAGCCATTTGGAGCTCCTTTTATAAGGTTGTCACTGTCAAGTGAGGTTGTGAGAGGGTATTTCAAACAACCTGGCTTTGCCACCTCAGTGTGACATCCTACATAGAAGGCTCATTGACATCCCTCATCTCTCTTTTTTTTTTTAAACCAAGTCTGTTCCTTAACCAGAATTTAAAGTATTCCCATTCTGTGGTCTAAAAACTTACTACTGCCAACATGTTTTTTTTTTTTTTCCCTTTAAATGTGTTAGGCCACACTAAGTTTATAATACTTTGGTTTTCCCAAAGCAGCAGGGTTCACAAATTTTACTGCCGTACTTACTATTAACAAAAAATCTTTAGCACATGTGGCAGTTAATTCTTTTTTAGCATGTAGCACTGTTAGCTGGTAATTTTTTTTTTTCCAGTTTAGTACAGTGCAGTTTAAATCTTAGTCCCAGAGAACAAAAAAGACAAGTTCTTAAATTTGCTGTGGATTTTGGCAGTGGACATGGATAGACCTAGTGAAATCCTTTGATCTTTCCAAGAGTCTAATACTGCATGATTTGTTGCAGTGTGTTTTCTCAGGCTTTGTCTCTTTCAAATGTGAACGTTGCTGAACAGAGTGTCATCATATTGACCTAAGTATCACCTTAAACTCCTCTCTGCATTAATTCCTTAACCTTCAACATTTTGTCGAGCTCTATAAGGGGTATTGAATTCACTGTGTCCCACAAAGGAAGTAAAGGATACATTCCATATTCTTAAATGTTGCCCTTTTTACCAACAGCCCCAGAAAGAAATAATTTTGCTTATAATTTGGTATGTAAAGTATGGCTGACTAAAAGGTTTCATTGCTGATTCTAGTGATTACTAAATTGGTGATTTTCATCAAAGCCTAAGCCAGATGATTGTGACTTAAGAGTTGAGCAATTGGATATACATGAAATCAGATAGTTCCCTTAGACAGTTTTCTGCCCCATCTTTGTGATCCCTCAGTGACTGTTCTCCAGAGCTACCTAGGACTGACTGGGCTCAGGAGAGAAAATAATTTCTCTTTCTGCTCAGGTACTATCCTTCAGTTTTTCAGAAGCTTGCTGTCTTTCTTCAACCATAACTGCTTCTGACATTCTGCGATTGGAAAGAGCTTAATTGAGTCTGTATATTTAAAGATTAAATAACCTTAAAATAGTAAAGAGAAATAGACCAAACTTTTGAAAAAACAAGAGTTGGTACCTTTTGTTCAAATCCAACACCAAAAAGCCCCTTTTAACAGATTCCATTTTCCTCTCTCCAATTTGAGCAGATTAAGACAGGCCTAGAAATATCTGGCAGTCCCCCTCTTCTGGATGGCTAGATATGTACTTTTAGTAGGAACTATATTATAGTGGCAAAATTTTGTTCTAGGAGTCAGTCAAATCTATGGTCAAATGCTGCTTTCAGCCCTTATCCATATCATCTTGGGCAAATTGGTTCAACTCTCTGAGCCTGTTTTCTTACGGGGATAACAATAGTACCCACTTTGAGGGGCTCTAATGAGGATTGAGATAATGTATGTAAAGGATTTAGCACAGTGCACACATATACTAGGAGCTCAATAAATAATACATCTCTTTGCTACCTGAACATCAAATAGGTAGCTCTTATCTGCATTAGTTGGCCTACCCAGACCTGGGTAG